ATCTCCCAGTTCGTGGGCTTCACGTCAACCAAAGACAGCGTTGCTGCTAAGGTAAAGTCAAGTCTCAGTACTATCTCTTGAGGCCTCATTTTGACTGCGAGTGTGGTATTGGTGGCACCTGCTTGCTCCATAGTATTTCAGCAACTACCTGACTCTTGCAAGAGCGATTGACTGACTTCTTTACCTCACGCAGCATCTCAAATCTCATGGATGGAACGTGGAGCAAGCAATCGACGCGTACGTATATCAATTTCTTCTAGCATTCCGTTGCATTATTTTCAGGCTCGTGACTGGAGGGACATCTTCGACGGTTACGCCTTGGAACCTCGGACATAGCTCGCAACACCTGGTCCCCTCTTGTATCGAGGCCGTGGATCCCCTCCAGGAAAACGAGGATGTTGACCGCGGAGGAGCAATGGAAGATCATCCAGGAAGAGGAGAGGAGAACGGGAGGAGGAAGGAGGAAGAAAAAGTCTCTTATGGAGCAACTCGAGGATATGGGCGGTTTCGGCGACGATCCTGACAGTGAGGAGGCCATAAGAGAGGATCTGGAACGCACGGATACAAGACATCCGTTGCAGAATTCTCAAGGGTCAATTTCCGAATGTGAAGTGTCATTCGGAGAATCATCGTTTTGGGAATCAAGAAAGAGGCTTTTCAACTCTTGGATATTCCAGGCCAATCGCCCGCGTAGCTGGATAAAAAAGAAAGACCTCCCCTTCTTTTTTCGATTTGCTCTACGCCGACCCATCATGGACGAGAGGAGCTTCCAAGCCACCTTGCAAGCCATGAACCTGCAGCTCGAGACACCTATGGGAGATGTTCGACAGCCACATACTCGCCCCATTGGACGATCGAGGGAATTGATGTTCGGCATTGATGTTGGTCAAGAGAAGAATTCACACGTCAGCAGCAGATATAGACGTGTTTTACCCAGAGGCGCGGCAGAAAACATGGACAGAGTCAGAGAAGAAGCCAGTAGGATGGTTCAGCACGATGACGAAGACGTGCAACAATTGACGCGAAGACAGCTCTGGACCGTGTATGAGCATGTGCAGAATGGTAGCGTCCCGCTCGAGACGGCAGCCTGGCACTATCGTGATACCTTCAACAATGCCGACATGAGCGATGAAACATTGCTCATTTGTCTCCAGCAATTTGGCATGCCAACGGATCACATCCCAACCAAGGAACGAAGCGCTCGTCGAGTCTCCGCCCATCGCCATTTTTCCAGCGGTGTAGAAATGTTCAGGGAAGAAATCGAAAACTTTCCTGTCCTGGATCTGGACGAAAAAGAAGGTAGAATCGTAAAGGAGCTAGTCAATTACATTGGCCTATATCGTAGTGGCGCATTCCAGGAACACGAGGTTATTCCTATGATTCAGCATTGTCTGGAGGGTCTCCCGCTTGAGGTTAATGTCATCAGTGATATCCTTACTGACCTTGACAAAGATGAGCAAACGGCTGCGATACTCATGTGGGAGGATGCTTGCTTCAATGATAATTCATCAGTGTCTTCCGAGCCTCTCGTCATCTCGTCGTCCTCTTCATCGTCCTCGGAAGAAGAGAATGAAAGGTCGCATGAAGATCGGGAAAACCCTCTTCGTGCGATCGTGGCCCCAGATCCGCATGCAAATGAAGGGAGAGATCACGCTGCTGCAGCGGCGTTACCCGTGGATGGGAGCAAGTCACCCGGTGGGCCTACGACGGAAGACATGGACTACCGAGGAGATTTCAAGGAGAATGAGTCAGAACAGTCGGAGGCCATGAGCATTGACCAAACGTCTAAGAGCCCACCAGCAGTTCCTCCAGGCGAGCGTCCGAACGTGTATAGCTATGCAAACGAGGCAGAAAGCAGCGTGCAGCCTCCAGGCACTCCAAGGCCAAAGCCTGCGTCTCTTGCGCCCGCCACTGAACAATCTGCTAGCGAAGCAGATGTAGAATCTGATCGCGAACCACCTCGTCATAGAGCGAACGTCGGCCGTAGAAGACCCTCGTCGCCAGACAACGGTATGACTACTGGGATCTGGGGCCTGCTTATGCCAACAAAGGAGGCCCGTAAGCTTGCTTACAAGATGAAGCTGCCACAAGATACCATTGATGAACAAGTCCGCTCAATCTCACCTCGAAGAACCAAAAGAAGGAGAGCAAGCTATGCGAAGACTATTGTTACCTTTCCAAAATCCAAACGCAAAGCTTCAATGGCGCTCCATGGAGACACTCCTCTTAAATCTCCAAAGCATGGCGATCATTCTGATCTTTTTGCGAGGGAAGGGGAAGACCAGGAAACCTTTGTGCTAAGCCATTTTGACCGCGATGCAATTCGTTCGGAAGATATGTGTATGAGATGCTTACGTTTGCCCTGTGAATGCGTATATGGATCATCTCCACGTTCAAGAGCTGAGCCTGAGTGCCCTAAATGCCTGCAACAACTGTGCAAATGCGGTCAATTTCCCCAGCTGGACGAAGCCGTTCCAACTGCGCCCCCCAGTGCCAACCAATCGGTTGATGCCCTCAAGGCCAAGTTGGCTGATAGGACGCGACCGCAACCAACGAAGCAATCAGTCACACTGCTTGCTTATCTAGCTCGGATGCTAGACAACGATAATGTGTTGGCTTCGATCAAGCAGTTGGAGCGACTCCACCCGGCCAATACGATAATTGCAGATACGAAAGCGATACTGGATCATATTCAGCAAGGCATCGGTGCTGGCGAAGACTTGAACACCGACGGAGAAGACGATCAAGAAGCTATCCGCATCTTACACGTCTTGATCCAGTCTTCGCGGACACTGGTCGATTATTCCCAAAGGCTTCATCGTGAAGCAACAGAGGGAAATACTTCCATCACAAGCGCTGACCATTGTCAAGACGAACTAGGAGAGGGCCCAGATTTAGAATCAAGTTTGCTCAACAGCAGCTCTGGCCACGAATACGTCCTTGCTCCGCCTTCAAAGCCAGTCGCCAGCGGAGCAGCATCTCCAGAAATCCAATCGAACGTTGCCAACAGGTCTTTCTTTCAAGCAATCGATACACCGCTCGGCAAAGGCGTTTCGCCTTATATACCCACACCTGCACCTGATTCTAGCGTTCCACGACTCGAATCCAGCAGCGACATTGAAGATGCCGCCCAGCCGTCGCGCTTCCAAGCAGGCGCATTCCCAGGCTCCTCAGCAGCAGGCGATCCGTCAAGAGCAGAAACTCATTCAAGTTCGTCAGCAGGAGGCGAATTTGCAACAGCAGGAGGCCATCCGTCACCAGCAGACATTCCTTCAGATTCGCCAGCAGGAGGTCCGCCCTCGTCAACAGCAGATCTCAGCGAACAGGTGAGCGCCAGCCCTATTGATGCGGAAGATGGCACAGACTATGACACTTTTGGAGCTTCTCTCACGAGACAGCCATATTCGGATTTACGCGATACGGGCAATGGCGAGGCTGAAACGCGATCACTACCCTCACCCAGGCCCGGAGTAAGGGGTTTGCAGAGAGATGTTTCGCCACCATCACCCAGACCAGAAGCAAAGCAATTGCCTACCAGTATTCCACCGCCATCGCCTAGGCCACCATTGATGGAGTTGCCCGAAAGTACACCACCAGCAACACCGAGACTTGCATCAAAGGATTTGTCCAAGAATACGAATGCGACTGCGCAATCTTGTTTGAAAAGTCCGAGTTTTGACTCTCTCCCACTATGGCCAGCTCAACCAGGACGTCCAGAAAAAGCCGGAAAGGAATGGATGAACATGACTCCTAAGAAGGCCTTGGAATACGCAAAGGAAGAGGCATTTAGTCATGGCAAAACTCTCGCTTTTTACCTGGAAGAGCGGCGTGCTGTTAGAACTCGCATCAAGAAAGAGAATGATTTTGCTAATACAAATTTGTCTAACCACAGTTTCTTCCAGAGTTCAAACGGATTGTCAGGCTCGTCAGGCACTTCAAACACCCCAGCTCTGAACAAAATATTTGACAAGTATCGAGGTATGTCCGATATCTATTTTCCTCTGCTTGTGTGACCATGCTGATACCGTCGTCTGCCAGACAATGCGGCGGAGGAACCAGACAAGATTGGGATCGAAGGCTCGATGCGATATCTGACGGACTTGGGCGTCAAGCTGGATGAAGTTGTAGTCCTTGCAGTTCTTACAGAGCTCGGCGCACCTACGATGGGCGAGTTCACTCGTGAAGGGTTCGTCAATGGCTGGCAAAGTCATCGGTGTGTACTTTACACAAAGCACGAATCGCGCCAGGCTCACGCACCGACTAACCATGTCCCTAAATTTGTAGCGCCGAAACCCTTCCCAAGCAACAAGGCCAAATAGCCTCCTTCCGCCGCTCCCTCGCAACGACACCCGACTTCTTCAAACGCATCTATAAACAAACGTTCCTCATCGCTCGCCTACCGGGCCAAAAAATCGTACCCCTCGAAACGGCCCTCGAATACTGGCGTCTCCTCTTGACAGCTCCTTCCTTATCGTGGAACACAGCCAGTACGCCATGGCTCACGCTGTGGCTGGAGTATCTAGAGGCGCAGTGGAAGAAGAGTGTTAGTAAAGATATGTGGGATCAGACGGGCGTCTTCGCCATGAAGAGCCTGGAGGATGAGAGTATGAGTTGGTGGAGCGAGGACGGGGCGTGGCCGGGGGTGTTGGATGAGTTTGTCTTTTATGTGAGGGAGAAGAGGGGGGATGCGACTGGTGGGGCGGAGAGTGAGATGGATGTTGGTTGAGAGGGTACTATCGACGTCAATGTCGACATGAGTGGGCATGGTATTGATGGCTAAAAGCCGGAGAGCGAGACGGGCTCTAGATGGGCGGAGACGTGATGATACCATGATGATGCCTTCATGAGAGAGGCTGCAGACTTGAACCAAGAGCAGGATCGAGTCTTGTCATTTTCATCCAATAGTGGCTACCAAGAATATTCTTTTATGGGTTCATTGAATGTCGCTTTATTTTCTAACTCTTAATGAAAGGAAGTATGGATTGATGTTGCGCATAGGGTCATTCCATAACCTCAACCTCCCCCGGCATCGCCTCCCCACCCTCCATCCTCAACCTCGGGAAATGCTCTTTACTCCACTCATACACAATCCCTTGTGCTTCCCGTTCCCTCTCCCCCGGACTCCTCCCCTCCCTCTCCGTCCGACCCGCCTGCCGTTTCCTTGCCTCATCTCTTGCAGTCAGGCCTAGGAACCAGCGCCCCACATCCCAAAACCAATGCCCAACGGATCGGATCCCGATAATCAACTGCTCGCCGGGTGAATCAATGACTTCATACGCAAATCCTTGCGTGTCGACGCTCTGGATCGAGGCAGCGCGCGAGGGGGCAGGCGATGGTGGTCGAGCGAGATGCGACTTTTTTGCAGCTTCGGCTTTATAGTCGTCGACTAAGACGAGGGCCGCGGAATGCCAACCCGCCGAGGCGACTTTGAGGACGAAATACGCTCCCATTTCGTCCTCTCTAGTGATACCATCCTCCCAACAGGCTCCTTTGCGCTCAAAGTAGCGACCTGTAGCCTCACAAGCACCCACATGCCCACTCAGCACCATTCTCCCTCTCTCCCTCGCTTCAGGCTGGCCGGACGCCCAATCCATATCCTGCAACCAGGTTTGCATAAGGGGTTCGAACCAGACTGTCGGATTCAGAGCTGGGGATATGCGACCACCACCGAAAGCGCCGCCTTCGAGGGCTACGCCGCGGAGATGGGAGATCAAACGGTTGCCGAGACCGAGGGCACCGCATCGTTGGGGCTCGAGACCGTAGGATGTTATTGTTCCAGTGGAATGGAGTGCGTGGTAGTGGTGGTCGCCGTAAGCGAGGGAGATTATAGGGTTCGATGGGGGAGAGTGGAGGAGGACGGGGGATGGTAAAGGGTGAACGGGGTGGGAGGTTGAGGCATGGTGGAAGGCGTTGAGGAGGTCTTTGTCCGCTGTCAAGATGGCGCCTGAAGTTGTGAAGACGGCGAAGCGGATGAAGGAGCCTTGGAGGTCGCGGATCCGGAATGTCTCCGATGGGCAGGCGGTGGGGAAAGTAGTGAGTTCAATTGGTTCCGGGATGTTGAAGGCCCGCATGGGGAAGATGGTCGGATAGCAAAATACTCTGTTGAGGTCGGTTGTGAAAACGATCCAGTTTTCAAGCACGATATGATGAGTTACTTGGCCGATGCGGGACTCGAGGCCGTCGTCTGTAGTACGCCCGTTGTATCGTTTTCGGCGGTAGCTGGTTCCGGGGATAGTGACAGAGTCGACGAGCATTGTGTCTGCCACTGCGAGTGTTTCTTGACGGCCGCCTCGGACGACGTCGCTGTCTTGGACAGAGGCCCAGTAAACGATACCAACGTCTATCACGTACATTGAATTGCGGTCCCAGCCTACGTCCGGATGGTCAGGACGTCCGTTATCTCTGACGCCTTAGAGGAGGGCAATTTACCTGCAATCACTCTGTCGACCTTGTTACCCACCATATCAACATGAGCCAGCTTGATCTGGAAGCCCATAACAGACTCCCACATCCAGACCTTCCCATCATCCGAAAGTCCCAGCACGCTTGAGCGACCTGTCGAATACTGTTGAATGGCGGTACTCGGCTCAGATCTTGTCTTCGACGTAGTCGGATATGCATGTGGAAAGCTCAGTCTCCTCAAATTTGCCCCCCCGCCCGACCTGAGTCCGTCGAAGATGCCATATATGTAGATTGCCCCTATTGAATTGAGGATCGTAGTCGACCATCCTCTTGAGTAACCAACATCAGCGTCTTTCCCGAACAGAACCTTCGCGTCTCACCTACCCACACTGCACATCAGCCACAATCCCCACGTCTTCACTAATCACAGGCTGCTTCGGCCATCCTGCACTCCCAGCCTCGGTCCTCCACGCACGCCCATGGACCGCAGCACGAGGGCTTAATCTCTGAGATTGCGGTCCCGTGTTGTCATGTCCCAGGTTTCCGCTCTTGTTGTCGCCCCATGTGTAGAGCCGCGTCTGCGTAAGCAGCTTCTTGTAAAGCCATTGCCAGCGCGCACCCTGGAGGAGGGGCTGGTCTGGTATGCGGAAGGTCGCACGGGTGAGAGCGTGCCAGAAGGTGGGGTCTTGGTGGTAGGTGTGGAGGGCTTTCTGGGTGTTGGTGTCAGCAAGGTGCAGCAATTGGGAGAAGAGCAGGCGTTCTACAGTGACGGTTGTGAATCTTAAGAAGTCGGTGGCGCTGAGGTAGGGGAAGATGCTGTAGAGAATATCGGAGGCTGTAGCTAGTCAGCTTGTATTTGCTGTGGCTAATTGCAGGGAGATTACGAAGGTCTGTCAATGCTATTGTGGGTGCCATATTGGATGATTATATTGCCTTACAAGTAGTGTTATAAGGTCTGATATAGGTTATCCAGTAGTGAATTGAGGAGTCTAAAGAAGGTTGTATCACTCTTTGGGAAATCGCGTCTTTTCCCTTTGGTCATGTCCTCTGCAATTTGTGTCCGAGGATCTACAAGTACTGTACATAGCGAAAATGCTCCCTGTCATAAGTAGATCGCGCGGACTCCCCTCCTGACTCCATTGTTCAAGGCAAGCTTGTGCCAGCCATTGCCAGACTTGCTGGACCAAAGCCACATGATAAAGAGGAGCCAACCAGTCAGTACACACGCCCTTTCTTTTGCCTGAAAACAACATGCTTGATAAAAAGTGCCGCCGTCGTCAGTCATGATCATCGAGTTTGCACGTTCTTCAGACCCTCGGGATCGACCTCAGGCCCTACTTCCTTCTCCTCTTCCTCGCGAATGATTTCTTGACTAACCCTTGCCTTTTCCTCTTCCAAACCATCTTCAGAGCGGACGTCACTATGCAGTACGTGCCCGGCATCGCCCATACTCTTCCTTGCCTCTCCCACAATAGCATCTGCCTCGCTGATGCCGCCTGCTTTAATAGATGGCGGATCGCCTTCGACACCGATGGGTTCTGTCTTTCGTTCAACGGTTTGCTGCAGTTTGCTGTTGTCGAAGCGGACGACCATGCAGGAAAGGTTGTCGGTGGAGAAGCGGGCAAGAGCGTGGTCGACGAGTAGTCTCGAAGCGTGTTGGGGGTCATGAGTGTGGCGGATTAGATCGACGGCTTCTTGGTCAGTGCAAACGTCCCACAACTGAAGACCCTGTCAGCAAATGGCCGAAGAATTTCATGAGAACGCGAACTTACCCCGTCACAGGCTAATATCAAGAATTCGTCAATGTCTGGTTGTATAACTGTTTCCGTAGTGTATGGGTGGCCTGTGACTAGATCTTTCATGTAGGCATCACCTAGCGCTCGAGTAACAGCCAATACGCCATTCACACGGTTGTTGAGGATCAAGCCTCCGGCATTCGAAATCCGCTTGCCTTCGTTCTCGTCGCTGCCTTTGTGATCATACGATAACCGTAGTGCTTTTCCATTGCGGCAGAGCACAATGCGTGCGTCACCAACGTTTGCAGTGTATAGTACACGCTGACGAGACGCGGAGTTTTGAAGTTTCGGCATGGGTGTAGTCGATGCAAAGCCTGGCAACATAGCCTTGCTCTGTGGAGTTGGATTTTGCGAGACATCGGACTTGCTGTCTGATGTCGGCGCTTCTGAGGCAGCTTTCACAGCAGCAGCTGCTGCGGGTGCTATTGCAGTAGAGCCTGTAGCCGAGTTCGAGTTTGGTATTCTGTCCTCCCATCTAAGAACAGCACATATAGCCGTGCATCCGCTGTTCTTAAGAGGCAGCTTGTCTAGCTGCTGATCAACATTGGTGAATGTCTGATCCAGCAGTTCCGGAACGGGGGTATTGGGGTTCTTCCGTATCATATCTTCTAACAAAACATGTAGCTTCTTTCCGCACCAGTCTGCCGCGAAGGTACCGGCGTGACCGTCAAAGATGGCAAAGTAACCGTTGTCAGTCTCGACAACATGCGAGCCCGGTGGGGGACTAGTAGACAAGCTACTGCTAGACTTTTGAGTATCTTTTGATAAGTGGCTCTTCATACTACTGGACATCGATTCGGAGTCTGATCCAATATTTGGAGCGGGCGTGCTCAAGAAATTGTAGAGATAGGCATGGGTGTCCTCCATAGTTCGTCTGCATTTCTTGTTCTTGTCTTCTGTAACTCCAACGCGGAATGTAGACCTAGGTCCGGGGCGTGACTCTCCAGCGGAGTTGTTGAGTGAACCTTGAGGTACACTCAATGCCGGATCTGTCTTCCCAAGCTTTTGCATGGCCGTCGGTTGAGGCACCAATTGACTATCTTCAGGGGTCGAATTTGGCGAATTGTGTATGTGGAATGAATTTTTGGCACTCGAAAACAACGCACCAGCCTTCGCTATCCCGCTACTCCTTCGCTTCTTCTCGCCGTTGTGACCAGTTTCATCCTGCGACTTCCTCCCCGTTGGCGAGCTCAAGCTATTTCGGCTGTCATCATCGACACCATCTTCATTGACCGCGTTCAAGTTGAGACCGCCAGGTATACTCCCAGGACCAGAAGTAGGCTTCGCGGCAGGATGTGACGCGATCGGGCTCTCATGGTGCTCTTTGGTCGGGCTGCTTGAGCTGCCGAACATTCTGTTCAAGAGGCCGCCTCCCTGAGTGGAGAGGCTCCTTCTCTTGTTCCCTGCCAGGATGATGGATTTGCTGATTTAGGTTCTAGGAGGAGACAGTTGGAGATATCGTGTAGAACGACGGTGAGACGCAATTCTCAGCGCTGTCAACTATGTATTTCGAGTCTATTCAGAAGTTGCGCGAGGTTGGTTGGTGAATTCTCAACTGTGGGGTGATGGTAAGGAACGTGGAGGTTGACAGTGAGGGGCAGATGTGTCAATGAGGGACTGAGGGGTCTGGATGTTTGAGAAATTGCAGTGTCAGCCAGGTGGTCCACGGAAGCGACTGCTATCGATCAGGATGCTGTCATGCGAGACTGGTAAGTAGTAAATAAACAGAGTGAAAGCTCGTAAGGGCTACAGCATGAGAGGGTGTGGGGAACACACAGTCTTGGCGTTCTCCAGGCAGTGGCCGTCCTTCCTTTCTGCTCAGTCCCACGTGAACAGTTGACAGGTTCGTTAGAAACGACACAAGCTCTGCAAAGGCAACGAAAGAGAAAAAGATACAATTGAGCAGCAACCTGTTTGCACGTACTCTGATGAACAGCTGAACGGCGTAGAGAATGTGGGGAGGGCTTATCGGCCGTACAGAAAGTCCGAAAGGGGTCCAGTAAAGTCACGTGTTTTAATGATGGTGGACCGTCTTTCTGTGACAGAAACTGGAAGTCAAAATGATTTATGAGTGTTGGTGATTCTATAACTCACAGACGAAAGGGAGGGTTTATGTCAAAGCAGTGAGGCATCAGGGATGCGCGGTAGAGAGCCTCCTGACATGTGCATGTGCATGTGCAGACAGCTTGCAGGATCTCCAGTACATGGAAAATCATAAGACTGAGCATCCGACACATCGAAAATTGTTTCAACGAACATTCAAGTCGTACTATGATTATGAGCATGGCTTTGAGGTGTCGATGCTATTCGAAGCGCACCGCACACTCTTCAGTGCATGTTCGGTCTGTCTAAAGATACAACACCTGCAACACGATCACTGTCCATCCGCTTGTAGCGATGATGATACCAGGCCGGTTGTCCGTATTGCCTGTCGCTAACGCTCTTGATCTTGGTCCTCCATCCGATCTCTTATCAGAAGTCGCTTTCATACTCTTTCGCAAGGGCAGATGGTTGTGAACAATGCTCGCAATCCCCATGGCTTCCCTATGCAGCCTGACTTTTGACCTCGTTCTCCACAGCCGTAAACTGTGGCTTGAACTCTTTTCCGACCCACTCCCAGTAGCCTTTCCATGCCTGCCCTTGCACATTCCCCGCGATAGCCGAAGCCGCTGGAAACGCATTGTGAAGTAATACTGTGACCTTGAGCACACCTTTGCTGGCTTCCGCTGCCTTCTCCATCTCTTGTTTGACCGAGTTCTCCTTAGGCTTGAACGCCAGAATTGCTCGGAAGCGTTCGGCGATGGCATCTAAACGTCGCACCATCTCTTCGGGGTCAAGGACAATGAGCTTCGTCAACATGAGATTGCAAAGAACCTTGATCTCATGCTCATCCTCGATTCCTGCGATGACGCGATCGAAGAGGTCGAGTGGGTTGATGCGTGTGTATGCATTCTCCATTAGCGAATACAAGGTCTCATACGCGCTCTATAAAAAGACGTCAGCTCGAGCGTGCATATTGTGCAACAGGGTCCCCTCACCTTACGTAGTTCAAGCCCATCATCGACCTTGTGCTTGAATGGGCCCATCTGAACCTCGCGTATGAGATCTGGATTAATACGTGACTCCTTCATCACTAGGGGAATCAGCTGTGCCAGCTGAGGCAGAACGATGTCTGATTTATTGGCCGTGGCGGAGTTCAAAGTGCTGAGAGCAAGTCGTCGGTTTTCTAGATTTGGATCATTGAGCATCGTGGTTAGCATCTCGATAAGGATGGGCTTGAGGACCTCATCAAAGGCATCATCGCTGTCCGCAAACGTAAAGCGGATTGCTTGGATGACCATGCCTCTGACCGTCGGCGTTGGGTCTTGGAGATAGCTCTGGGGTCACGGTCAGCGTTGTAACAATACCATCGGCGAGTAACTTACCTGGAGCAGGGGGAGGAACGTCTTAGGCTCGATGATAGTTAATCTTCCAATGCACTCGGCCCCTATGGCTTTGTTGTCCTCCGCCTGCGATGATACCAAAAGCTGGTTCCAGATCTCCTTGGTGTATGGCGAAATGTCTGAATGGGCTTTACCGGCATGTTGTAAGATTTCTTTAATAGAGTGAAGTGATAAATACTGTAGGTTGCCTGTTTTACCTGAGTTTGACAGGATAATTGGCAAATAGATGTTAATATTGCCTGCTCCTGCTCTACCAAGCGCTATGGCTGCAGCGCGAGGTACGTTCTCAGACTTGGAGTTAAAGTGATCCATGAATACGTTTGGTTCCAGGGGTGACGATGATCCTAGACGTAAGCCTGCTTCTCCAAGTACCGACAGAGCGAGACATTTGCGTTTGCCGTCTTTCGAAGACCTTAACTCGGTGGCGAAGTCATTGATCTTTACGCCCACTGTCGAGCCTCCAGACACCAAAAGGGTGCCAATTGCTTTACCTACGACAGCAGGATCACCAGATACGCCCACGTTTTGCAGTAAACTCTGCATCAATGGCTGCCCTACAGCCTGATCTCCAATGATCTTGACCAGGCCCAGATAAGAATCGAAGACGGCCCCACCCAGTGGGGAAAGGACAACGCCACACAACGCGTTATTTAGATTGGTGTCGACAACCTTTTTCGGACACCGCTTGACGAGCTTCCCCAGAATTGACATGGCCGGACCAAGAGGGTTGAGATCGTTTGAATTGATCAGCGGTAGAAGCATTCCGGCTAAGTTGTAGATAGTGTCGTCATCAAGACCTGCGAGAGCGACTGAGTTAGATACGAAGTTCCTTAATGCTGCAAGACTTGCTCCACGGAGACTTCTGTCGGCTTTGCGTAATTGAGCGCCCAACTCGAGCGCCACGCCTCGTGCCCAAGCAGGTTGAACGTCGCTCTGGTCAACTGCGGATGCCACCACTAGATCGACAGCTTTGACGCCAGAGAGACGTGTTGTCTCGTTCTTGAGTCGATCTTGGAGAATAGCAAGAGCCTTGGATTTATTGGTGGTCATGAGGAGCTTTACATTGCCTGATCCCGAGGTACGTGCAAGAAGAACACCAAGAGCATGTATGGCTCGTTGTCGTACTTCTAGGTCGGCATCAGTGGCCACGGCGCGCGTAGATATGGCGTCATAGATACTGCCAACATGCAACTTTCGTTGTTGCTCTGAGCCAGCCGATCGGGGTGGGGTGAGTATCTTGATCAAGCTCTCAATCGCAAGAAGAGCCTCGCTCGAGACTTTGTAATACTTATCTTTGACAGCCGTAACAATGCTGGGTACGATGGACCCAATGTAAGGTGCCACAACTTTGGAAGAATGTGTGTCGCAGATCGCACTAATGAGTTGCAGAGCCTCGATTCGCATCTTACTGCCGCTCGCTGCGGCCGCTCCACCTACGGATGTTGATGCTGATGCTGAACCGGTTGCAGTGGCTCCCGAGGATTTGACTGCATCAAGTAGAGGCTCTACAACTTTGCCCAGACTGTCTGAAAGCCCACCGTTTTGCACCAGAACTAGGTCACGAAGAAGAGTGACTGACGCCTGTTTTGTCGGAATCGAGTTCTGCTTCAACAATTTAGATACGCCTCGAACAATTGCCGGGCTTAGTCGAGCGAGATCCGCCTTGGGCCCAGAAACTGGAGAAGGTGACGGTGCGGGAGAGCTTAGACCCATGGACGAAGAAAAGATGCCTGGCGCGTCAAATGTGCCAGCATCACTATTTACTCTTCGCCGCTTGCGTGAGCGGGAAGCATACTCCGCTGTGAAATCAATGTCCTCCTCGACGCTTGGGCTCAACAGCGAGACGCCTTCACCAGTCTTCCGGATCAAGGATGCCAAAGTAGCAAGAATTTCGAGTCTGACATTTTCTTCCCTCTCCTTGAAACGGCCGATCAAGACTGGAGCAATTTTGTTATACAAGATGCCGTTGTCCAAGAGATCGCCATTGCTTCGGGTCGAGATGATGGCGTAGAGGGCCTTTGCAGCACATCGACGAACCTTCCAGCTGGCATCGTCATCATCACTCATGGCTCCGTCCTCCTCAAAGTCTTCCTCAGCATCATCGAAGCCATTCGTCTCAGCATCATCGTGCTCCTCGTCCTGCGTGCCGCCCATGTCTTCGTCATCTTCGTCAGTCGCAGTGTTAGGATCATAAACGACATATCGCAATGCGGCTTCAATTGACTCGTCTGTGAACACGCGCATATCGTTACTGCAAGATGAGAGAAACCCCTCCAACGCTACTAGCCCTGCTTCTCGAACCTCTTCAATCTCCAGATTGGGCGCACCATCTTCAGCAAGCTCTTCCATGGAGTCTTCGTACTCTTCTTCGCTGAGTGCACTAAGTACAAACGGAGCCAATGTTTTCAGGTATGGGCCTAGTCTCTGTGGTATCGACCTTGAGAGCGAGCCAACCATTGTAATAAGTAGTCGTCTTTTCGGCAACGTCAGATGACTGCTTCGAAAGCTCTCGATTGTGCTGGATACGAAAGTACTGAGCAGGCGGTCGGACATGTAGACCGCAAGTATTGAGATGGCAACCACCGCCTTTTTCTTTATGACAGAACCAGTGCGTTCGTCAGCCAGGATGCTCATGATGGCCTTCTGGAAAGCTTGTTTTTCCGGGTCTTGAAGCATGGGTCCGAAGCATCTTACCACCTCGATGAGAACATCAACAGCATCGCTGTTCGCGCCTTTCTCGGAGCCGATTTCCAGCATTCCCGGTGGCGGGCTAGGAAGATTCTCCAGGCCATGTGGGATCACTATGTAGCCTAGCAAACGTGGTATCAAGACTCTACTGATGGCAGAGTATGCATCTTGAGATTTTCCAGAAGGAGGCAGACCGGGCAACGGTCGTGGGAATGCGGTTATGAAAGTTCTCAATGCCGTTGCAGGTATCGAGGTGTCTACCGAATGCGTGGTTTTGATATTCGAGACTCTGTGAACAAATGGTGCAAGAATATCTGGGGGTAATTTGAGGACGAGGGCACTGACACTGTATCCTGTTGTCAATAGCGAGGTTCGAAGTGAACGAGAAACATCTTACCATTTGATGGCTTGATTTTGAACCTCACCGTTCTGGTCATCCAGAGTCTGGAGCACACCATCGATGATCTTGGCACTTGTATGATAGTCGTTGGTAAGGAAAGTAGATGCTCCTGCATTCAGTGTGTTGTAGAGATCATTCAATGACATATAACGAAGATCAGCGTCTGCATCACTGAGCTTTGGCAGTAACGCCAAAGCTTGGGCGGGTGTGGGATTCTGAGGTACGGAGGGCGCCATCATGAAATCGTATGCTTCGTTAGGACATGAGAGAATGATACGAGTCTTTAGGTATCTGTAGAGATATGAAAGAACGCAAATGAGCTTTGCTCGAGAAGGTTCGAGACTCCAGGCAACTGCAGGCTAAAATGCAGGACAGGTGCAATTCGTAGACGACGGCAGCTTTTTACACGTGGTTGATATGTCTTAACACTCTCAACGATACTCATATTCGGACATTTGCGAAATCAAGCAGAAAGACGGAAGGAAGACAAGACGTCCTAATGTCATCCCGGAGTTTATCCGGCCGATGACGATCGTTTTTAGCGGCATCGGCCGCCAACGCTCTCAAGCTCCCAACCTCATCATTTCTACAGATTACAGTTGACCATTGGCCCTTTTTGAGCGAGACAAAGGTCTCTTCCTGCGCATTTTCCTTGTCCTACCTCAACACAGCCTACCAGTTCCCGATTTGCCAGAATGGTCATCGCCAAAGCTTCCTCTCGTTGGACTTCGAGACTGTTCGCCCAATCTGCACGAGCTACTAGACCCTCTCGAACATGGCGACCGGTCCAACGACGTACATATGCTAGTGATGGAGGTCACTCTAGTCAACAATCCTCGATGCTGGCAGGAGACCTACCTTGGTATGCCCATGTCCCGTTCTGATGCCGCATCAGCATTTTTGCCAGCTACGATTCTCGAGCCTTTTCTTACCGAGGCATTGGAACTACTCAATGTATCCGAAACACGGGCAAAAGGCTGATCTCGAAGTACAGGGCCATCGCATCTATAGTTGTCACCGTACCATCAGTATATTACCTGATGCAGCCTCAAATTGAGAGGTTTCAACATCCTGAAAAGCACGGACACGGAGGACATGACGATCACGATGAGCACGGCGGAGAAGGTGAAGGCGGTGAGGAAGGCACTTCGAGTGAAGGTGGAGAGTCTGGAGAGGATCAAAGTGAAGGCGGCGAGCAAGAATCAAAAGAAGGCGAGGAAGATGAAGACAAATCCGACGACTCAGGTAGTGAGGGTGGAGAGAAGGATACTCCCAATACCTCAGATCATGAAGATTCAGAGAACACCATACACGAGAAGGAGGGAGGTCAAGATGTGGAAGGTGTACAGTTCAAGGGCGCTACTAGCGGTGGCACCAGAGAAAACGAGCAAGGCGACACACGAAAGCATATTCCAGATGCGAAGGGGTTCAATAAGAAGAGAATCGAGAGTCACTATGGTGGGAAAGAAGGCGAGGCTCAAGAGCCAGAACAGGACCCGAGTGACAAAGACATGGTATCAATTGCACCTTATGTGGCGCCTTCAGGATGGCCATTGTGCTAACATTAGATTAGGCTGCTCCATCCAAATCTGCTGGAGACATGGGCACACAATCGGGAAAGCAGGAAGGACTTTCAAACACCGACACCAAACACTCCACCAACATTGCCGAGGACCCTGAAAAGAGCACCAAAGGCGAAGGTATTAAAGCAAAACCCAGTAGGATAGCTAGCTGTTTGAATGCTAATGAGCCATAGGCGGTCCCGAGACAGCCAAGAGCAAAGGAACAGTGGACCCGCAAAGACCACAGCGCTGAGAAGGTCGATAATACCTCTTTCAGGAGGTTGAGAGCCCTTGCTGATCAACGTTCGTTAGGCTGAGAACAAAGAAGCGAGAGGTTCATGACCTTGCCACCAAGAGAAGAACTTCAGCTTCTTTACCAAGCGTGGATAGACTGTACATCACAAAAGCGATTGGCCTCTGGAACATCCGGAAGCAATGCTTACTGATTATCCTCGCCTTTCGCGGACGTTCCTGCGTGTGTTTCCCTGGTCAAGTAGGCCTTGCATTAAGAATGGAATTCCCATCAACATATCGAGCTACCATGCTGCTGCACGGTTTACATCCGCGTACGCACAGTCACGACGATATAGACTACGTATATAATGAAGCCTTGGACAGGATCACAATGCCTTACTGAGAGCATACTCTCGTCCGGTCACTGACGTTTCAGACATCTCCTATGCCTGAGCATAGAAGGTTCCAAGTTTGTCCGCCAGGATTCCAGCCTTCATGTTTCGTCACTTTTTTTCTACATCCTGAATATCTGTGAGCTAAGCCTTTTCGATCCATACCTATCATCGACTCTTAGCTTCCGTACATGCTCCACCTTCGGAAATACCTCGTTTGATTGGATCTCCCACTTCCACGAGTTCATGTCGTTGTGAACCCATTGTTGAATGATTTCGCTTTACCTGGTTCCTCAACATTGTAGTTCAGAAGCTTTACAGTGACATCCATGCCATTTGTGCTTCCCTGTGGTTACTTTCTGGTGGCCTGAAATCTGCAAGTCAAGCACAGCCGACGATTCCAACGCTGATCATGTGTTCCGTTGGGTGTCAGATCCCCCTGCTGATCAGACCCGTTGTTGAAGCGTTGAGTCTCACAATCCTTTTCTAGCAAACCCTCTTTCTGGGAGTTGGACATAGTATGAGGAAGCAGTGAAGCAGGGAAGTTGAAAACGCACATGATAAAATATACAATTATATTAGATCAGACGGCAAAGCTGCGTGCAAGTCACTTCCAAGTCACAGGCACAAGTGATGACCATTCGATCGCAATTGAGTCAACACTTGGTGCCGGTGGAGAGGTACTCAAAGGAGACACGGAACGGCCAAGTCAGATTCAAGGTCTCATTACTTTACTCGTACAATCCAGAAGTGAGTTCTTTGATAGAGCGAGGACACGAATAAATCCTTCCACTTAGCTGAATATCGGTTAATCTATTGGTGTCCTCACTCTATCAAAGAACTCACTTCTGGATTATACGAGTAGTCATTACGCAAGACCGAGGCTTTCCCGCCGCAGCCAAGCCACGGCGCTATTCTCGGCCTTGCCGGGCCGAAAAGCCAATCAAATAGCAGGAGCGTCAATCATGCCTTCTAGCGCACATCTGCATTTGCATCCAGTTCTCCGGACGTCTGGCCATGTGGGTAGCTGCAGGGCATGGAAAAGCTAACCTTTAAAGTTTAAAAATTCTTTCTCCGTCTGCAGTTGCTTCCAATCTCCGCAGATCACGGTGGCAATTGGCAACTGGCACCAAAGCCAACAGTATCCAACCTCCTAATTCCAACTACTGCTAATTGGCTCGGAACCACAAGAGATCCGATGACTATGATCCTTGCCTCAGATCCTGCAATCCTTTCCTCTCCACCCTCTCTCTTTCTCTCATCTACCACAACTGTTTCTCAACTCTCCGCACGTCCTTCGGCTCTGCCTGTACCCAACATTCATCATCCTGGAAGCTTGACGTCAACTTCCTGCCTTATTGATCATCGCACCGTCTCTGCTCTTCTTACTTTGGAGCTTCAGGTATTCAGATAGCGATCTGTAAATTCGATCGTCACAACATGCGGTCTTGATGATGTTCGATTGCCCTCCACCATGTCAATTCTCTTCTATAAACGCCCTGAATACGTCTTGCGACACAATGGACCTCTCGCAGAGTGCTCACGTAAGGGAGGGACCCCCCAGGATTGTAGCGCTGCTGCCATCCCCCCGGAGCTGTCCTTCGAGAACGTCATATGTAACAAGTGCTTGCCTCCATGCAGCTTGCAAGATTTCCTCGACTACCTCACCTACGTGACACGTGATGCCGAAAATCTCCAATTCTATCTTTGGATGGTGGACTATTTCCAGCGATTTCGCAATGCCCCCAAGTCAGAAAAAGAGCTCTCACCGCCGTGGAAAAATGGTCCCTCGCAATCCGCGTGCAGACCAAGCACCCAAATGTCAGTGAAGGGCTCGACTCCTCTCGTCGCAAAGGAGATCGATATGCACAGCGAGGACATTTCGAATGGCTCCACGTGGGAGGGGGATCAATCAGAGGGTTATGCAGATGATCATAGCCAGACACTGGATTCGGTGAAGTTTGGCATGTCGCCAATAAGCCCGCCGGTCAAGCACAGCCGTGAGAAGTTCGCTCCACAGCAGTGGCAGGTATCGCCTCAGAACCAGCCGTTTCGCTCCGAAATCAATAGGATCGTCAACCATTACATCGCTCCAGGCAGCCCACGAGAGCTGAACCTCTCTCACAACGATCGTGCTACCGTTCTCCAGGCTCTTGAGCACACCACCCACCCCTCGGCTCTTACATTAGTCAAGAGAATGCTCGATTCAACATTACGGAATCAGTCTCATCCGAACTTCGTCCGATGGTCCATCTGCAATGGTAACAGACAATGGACCGTCGCTCTCCGTGCCTTCGCCATCATGAACATTCTGATAGGATTTGCCATTGCCATAGCCCTCACCCTTTCGAAGTACTCGCGCTGGTGGCGTATCTTTGCTGCTTTCGAATGGTGGTTTGGTACCACCAATATCATAGCAGCCTCTCAAGGTCTTTGTGTCCTTCTGCACAGAATGCACACTCGGCAATACCACGCATGGGAAACGAAAGACTACACAAATGATGACGACGAAGCAATGCTCAAAGGCTTGGATATCAATTTCATAAACTACGAAAGCACCAAGTCGAAATGGCCGGTCAAGATGGAGGTGTTTGGGCCGGCGAATGACTACGGTGATGAACCTTGGGTGGACCATTATTCGCGGAAGGCCTGGTGGAGGAAATTGTTTGAGAGAAGGATCCCCGTGCAGGAGAATGGACTGAAAAGCATTCAAAATCGTATGATACGTCAGGCGGAGGCATGGGCGCTTCTGATTACTATTCCACTTACAGTCGCATTCGTGGCGATACCTAAAGGGAACTTATACCCTTCATGACGCCCAGTATTGACGCGAGAGCTGGGCTCTGACCGTGTCGTTCTTCATTTCCGCATCACACGGAGTCAATCGCGGTCATTTGTCTAAGGCGTCACAAGGATACCCATAGATCGAGGCATTTTGCACAGCATTAGCACTACGGCCAATACAGGACGAAATAATGCGAAATGACCATTCTGAAGGTGGCTGGACATATGTCAGCATAATACTAATCGACTTCGTTTCCACTCAGAGACACCCTGGGCACCATTCGGTTTTACTGTCATGCTGCCCTCGTCCAAGACCGCAATGGACCCCTTGTTCGATGTTGTTCCTCACTCCACGAGAAAGCTATTCTGCCCAGGACCGTAGCAGAGTCATCTAGCCAACTTTGGATATCCTCGAGACCTCAACCGAAGAAGCGAATGAAGTAGAAAGAACGGGATAGATAGGAGGTCAAGAGGACGGTTGGGAGAACAGATCGAGAGATTCTGGAGCATTCGTCGTAGCTGAGGGCGACGCATGTGGAAGGAATCCTTTAGAAACTTGTTCTGCGTTCTACATTCCTCGTTGACTGGGCGCTTGAGGCAGTGCACAGTAAAAGCAAGATAGAAATCCATGAGCGCTTGTGGTGATTGTGAATGCTCTCTAGATTAATCTACGTAGATTATCGTTAATAAAGATGATGGCACAGGTCCTTGACTCCTTCGATGTGTTTTACGGTATATGATTCCATACCAATTTCCAGGCGAGGCGACTGTAACCGAGCCTCCGAGCTGCGTACTCGTAATCTGGGCGCTTACTGTATCCCCATTGGTGCCATGTTCGTCATTGTGCTTGAAACTCTGCACCAACCAATTAGAAATCTCCGCACCCATCACTTCGGCGGCGCCGTCCCAAACGGTTTTGCCAAAGTCCCGTTGGCCCCAGAGCTGGGCGCCAGCGCGTATGCGACACAATAATGTCTCCGAATGGCGGCACTCTCCACGTAAGATTGTCATCACCCCTCTCTTTGCGACCGAACATACCTGCCATACACGACATACTTGACACAGACGCAATAGGACAGTTATTATGACCTCGACGCGCTCCAAGAGCAAGCTGCACGCATGAGTCAGACCCAATTGCTACAACTGGTCTACCGCAACATACCTACCTGCGGCACCCAAACCCCCTCTTCTGGGCTGAGAGCACCAATTTTGGACTTCTTGCGCTGGCGTCAAGACCGAGAGGACTGGGATCGCATAAGCCAGCATATACAGATTACTCATAGAACAGAGCTATCGCAATGGCCTCAGGCAACCAAAGATCCATGGCGCCAGCAGCGCGAGGAAACCAAGCAAGAGCAACCCCGCCGCTTCAGACAAGCAACAGTGACTCTAATCGCTACTCATTCATGGATACACCTGTCGAGATGCAGAGGCCCACCTTCCAACCATATCACCAATTCTCCAGTCCTACGAACTCTGTGATTGATGAGTCACCGATCAGCCCAGTGTCACCGACCAGAGGTCTGCCAGCCTACCAGCAGGGATCACAGGGAGCTATGACTTCGCCTATACCAGATCAGAAGGCGCAGGCGCAGAGTCCGCAGGAGATGCATCCGGCTTTCTTTGCACCATATAAAGAGGAACAACCAGCGCAGCAACAGGCGCAACAACCTCCGAGCATCGCTCCCTGCACAGAAGAGGCGCCAGCGCAACAGGCCCCACAGCCCCGAGTTGTTGCAGAGCCGCAGTCGCCGGGACCTATACCAATCAAGACACATGAAGCA